CTTACCGCTTTGACTTTATTTTAATTCTTTTATAGCTTGGTTATCGTGCTGTTTGCTGCACAACTTTATTTCGGTAATATTAAAGTTGCGCAGTTAAGTTGGAAAGTTAAGACCAAAGCGAAACTTGTCCACGAGGGCCGCAGCCCTACGTTATTCTAGAATTTCGCGCTGATTTGTTAGCAACTTTGTTGCTGGAAACATATTATATGCGAACGAACGCGAGTGTAACTTCTCACGTGGAAGTAATTTAACTTCGCAATTACACGTGCCCTTGAGTCTGTTCGGCTAATCGAACTTTATTTCATTCAATTTAAATTACGCAAGCGGGTATAGATTTACGCGATCGCAACTATTTCCCCTCTCTCCTCCGGTTCGTTAAGTGACAGTTAGATTACTTAAAGGAAAGTTTTCGACAACTTGAATAAAAACCGATTTTATTCAAGAGAGTATTACCTCTCTAAAACTAATTGTGAATTGTAGCAGTTAAAAAATTTTTTTTCGTGATTAGGTCCATCTACTCTATGCCAAATATCAAATTTTTAAAAAAAATTTTATAGTACTTGCCGAACTTTCTTGTTAGTAATTCTATGCGTGTGTCAAACAAACTTTCAGGAGAATTTTCTTCAATTTCATCGATGGCTTACAAAATTTCGAGCGCATTCTACGATGACGCCAAGAAAGCTCATGGCGCTTCAATCCGAGTAACTCATTGAATAAATCGTGATTTTCCACGGTGCTAGTTTCCCTCTAGATTTCATACGGTTGATCGATCCGTGCTTTGAGAACGCACCGTGTACGTTACCGTAGTAACTTCTCACGTGGGAGTAATTAAACTTTCTCGCTCTTTGTACATATAATCCTCCTGGTACACGGAGTTCACCTCCCTGATGTGACACTGCATACTGTCGAGAATTTAGCAATACTACCTATAACTTTCTGAAATACGAAGCTACAATTTTTAAGTTAAATGTGAAGTTAATTATTCCAAATAGCTTGATATTTAGAAGAAAGGTGACGGTTATGGAATATTCAAAAGTTGTGGAATACCACAATACCTTATAGTTAGCGTTACAAATAGCAAACAGTTTCACAGGTATGTTATATTCTTTACATAATTTAAAAAAATATGTTGATAATTAATTTTGCAACTTCAATTTAGCTTGGAGGCCTTTAATGTACCTTCCAAATAATATATTTGATGAACTAAATGTGGTAACGAAATGTTTGTATTGTACATACATCCGATATGTAAAGTTATTCTATGTTATACTAATTAGTAATGTTCTATATATCTCTCCTTTTATTCTATAATTGTAATCTTCTTCCCTTTTTTGTAAATTATGTTTGTATTGTATATTCAAAAAACTTCTATCCATAATATAATTCATATTACTCTACGGCTAATAAATTGTACTTTAGAGCGCAAAAATTTATAGCAACATTGCTGCAATATTTATAATATTATTGTAATATTACTATAACGTTGCAATGTTGCCGTAATACTGCTGGAATAATTTGTATGGCTTATACCTATAGAATTACAAGTCGTACTCTTTTAAGAATACAGGTACTCTTTTTCGAGATCGTAAAAACGTCTTGCCATTAATTAAAATTTATATTTACAAAATTATATTAATGAGAAATATCAATAAAAATTACGTTTAAAAATTTTTATTTTATTAAATATCTACATTTATTGCATAAAAAATTACACCTCCTTTTTCCACCCTCGGATTATCATTTTCTTTTAAGTATATACATATAGATACTGTTTTCTGTTCTGATTCTGATTTGATAACTCTAGTTGTACCGAATATACCGAATTACGTTACATGAATATTTCAATAAGACGAAATAGTATTCCATAACTCCCTTCCTTCCTCTATTTACACGAAAATACTTGTAAGATCTAGGAAGCATCATCAGATAGTATCTGTTCCTTTTATAACGAAGTAAATGCAACAAGTAAAAGCGTAAGCAATCCGCTAAGTCACTCTTTCCTGTTTATAACTACTTGCGTAAAAAGAGACCGTAACGCTCTAGTAATGCTCTCGATATTGATTCCACTCCGTCATCTTCATCGAGATTCGCCACGAGTAATTTCGCACAAATAGAATTATTCATGAGTTAATTTCGCATGCCTCGCTAATCAAATGCGTCAATGCTTTCGCAGCGAAACCACAAGTTTGCTGCGTTCGGTTGCTCCTGTCGAGCGTCGCGGTACGGGACGCGCGCTGGAGAATTCGCGTATCACGCTGCCGTCTAATGAGTCAACGAATTGATAGAACTCACCCTCCGCAGCCATATTTTCCCGACGGCTTGTTTGCCAAAGTTACACGCGTAACCCCCAATCCCCGATCCTCCCGTCCGTCCATCGTCACGAAAAGCATTCGATTGGAACGCGACGAGTGTTCGATCCTTCGTTACGTATGATGTATTGATGAAATTTGCGGATCCGCGCGTTACGGTGTCGCGGAGTTACCTTGATGAACGACACAGCTCGTCATGGCGACAAATTATGGAGTAGCTGCAGCACTGTCGTTTGGACTGTTGTGCGAGGTAACGAGCTGACTTTCGCGAGGGTACCATATTAATTATCGCGCTGCCAGCAACGAAAATAACGAGGCAACGCGCACCGATTAATAAGCAAAGAACTGATCGAATAACTTAATTGAGAACTCCTCTGTAAATTCCTTATGTTTCGCGTCAAGTTTGAAGATCTTATGGCTCTTTAAAGATCTCGTTGTTGCGAAGAATTCACTTTGCATCGGTTTGCTGCTTGTATTTTTATGGGCTTAAACGTGCATTAACGAAAAAAGATATAATTTGCATACTACTACATAAGTTGGATAATTTCCGATTGTTATTTTATGTGACGTTTCTTCATTAAGAATTTTTTATCCTTCGAACGTGCATCCGTGCGTTGCTGTTTTATATATAAGAACATAAATTTGTATTTACAATCCCATTTTATTCCTATTTTCTTTCTTCATGAAAAAATTTTAATATTTATTTTTTCTTGCTTTGTTAATTCAAGACAACTTTGTTCTTTGAATACGTTACCTATTATACTTATGCCACGTTATTATATAATAGCTCTGTAAGTACAAAGTTATGAAAATTCATACGACTATACGAGTGTTAAACGAATGCCAAGCGATGTGATCAAAGTTTACTTTAACACGATGATGACGCAGGATATTAAACTGAACTGTTGTCATACTGCAACACAGTTCTCTACACTAACTTTATACACAAATTCAGCCGCTTCATGTTTGTTCCTAGAGAAACTAATTGCTTTGCGTAGAGCAAGCTCTTTTGTAGCTCTGTTGAAAACAAAGCTTGTACATATGCAATAACTGGATCTGAAGAATAAAAGTATTCGCGCATAGTTTGTTAGCAGATTATAATGAAGTCTCTCATATACAAAGAGTCCATTCTCCTTTCAAAATTACATTCGCTTTTTTGTATGCATACTTCCAGCATAGATATAATATTAGTAAATAAATTAATAATTTAATATAAATTATTTTTATATGTTGAGATTTATATATTTTCCATCCTACAACAGCACAAAAATGATATGAGAATCACAAATATTGTAACGAAAGCTTATAAGTAAAACAACAGACATTCCTAAAGAATTCATTTTTGGATAGTGCCGTCATCTTCATTGTTATCCAAACTTCTCTCTTACGAAATCCCATTCCTTAAACGTATGCATGACTCTCGACCGATTCGAGCCTGTTAACATATAAATTGCCGCTTAACGACGAGACAATCAGTTTCGCGGAAACTCTTGGGAAGGGAGTGACGATGGAGACGAAGACGGACGACACCAAAGTGCGAAGGTAAACGAGATAGTACGGAGAAAAGACAAAGAGGGAAACAGATAGAATGAGAGGAATGAAAAGGGACGATAGGAGACGAGGTCACCCCCGAAAGTAATGGGGGAGAGCGCGGGAACGGTGGAAAAGACAGCGCACTGGAGAACGAGGCGAAGGGGGCCGCCGCGCCGTCGAAGAGACAGAAACGAGAGGAAGGGTGGCATTCAATTCAATTTCCTAAGAAACTCTTTAGTGTTTGAGATACAGCCGCCGAAAGGATGCGCGCGAGGTTAGATATGTGGTGGAGATGGTGAGTGCGATCGCGGTGGGGGATGGAAGACAGATAAACGGGGGGCGACTGAGGGGGTGGCGGAGTTGGATAGAAGGTGGGATAGAGAGAAATCCGGGGAATAGATGAGCGCGCGATCGTTTGCCGCGTGCGAAAGAGAGAAAGCAAAAGGGGTGACGGCGACACGCCGCGTAAAGGACAAAGGGAGCGACGGAAAAACTATAATAGTGAGTGAGTCAGAAGACAACTACAGCGATAGAGGGCTGCATAAAAGAGAAAGAAGTTCTCGTGCGAGTGCGGGAGCGGGAATAGAAGAGGGTGAGAGAAAAATGGAAGGGGGAAAGGGGACGGATTGATATCGCCGAAAGAGAAGGTAGAGCGCAGAGCACGAGTGAGAACATGGATGGAAGAACGCGGGATAAACGGAGATGCGGGACGGGAGAGAGAGACTGACTAACTGACTGTGGCCGGTTAGGGGGTGAAGGGGAATAAGGATTCTGTGCGCGGGCGCGAGGCTGGCGCAAACTCTTCGTGCAGCATCCCTCGTCAGTTGCAAGTCAGGAACTATCGTGGCCGCGTGGCGCCCGCGCTGTGTCGCCGCCAATCTTACCGATTTCAAACGCTTACGCGGTTCCGGCTGATCGACGCGCGAACGGTACCAGAAAAAATCGCCAAGTTGTCAACCTACCCTCGAACTATCTCCGATTTTACGTTTGGCCCGATGTTGTCGCGCGTTCGCGCGTTTCCGCGTTTCTGTTCGCGCGAGTAGATTCTCGTATCTTTTTTTTTTATGGGAAACCGCGAAAACAAAAACGCCGTGATACCAATCGGCGAACGAGGATATATGTAGACAAGAAGCGCGACGTGCGCGCGTTACAGTGACACAGAAGATTCTTCACGGCAGAATGGATAAAGACTTTCGCCGGAAGTATAAAAAAATGCGATGTGGTCTGCTTCACCTGCTGCTGATAGTGGGGGGTAAGTTTCATTATACAGTGTTAAGTTCGAAGACAGAAAGGGGGAGGAGGAGTTTCTCGAGTGATTTGGATGCGTCGCTGATTACCGCGCCGGTGAGGCGTTCTCCATCGACTTTTAATCTTCGAACGGAGAAACTCATCGAAGTAAATCTTCCACTACTCTTTCGCCCGTTGATGCGAAAGTAGTGGAAAACAGGAGAGGAAACGTATCTCTTCGGCTGGTAATTTCGAACTGAGGGAGAGAGTTCTCTTTAGTTTAAACAACACTCTACACAGAGAAGATGGTCTTTGATGAAAGTCCTGAAGCGCTATGCGGTTCTATCGGCTTCAGTTTATACTGCTGAAGGATGCCGAATATACATAGCGATGAGGAAAGAGGGATAATGTTCGCTCTTCCGTATCGCGCCAAGAAGGAGAGACGTAAAACGGTTAAGTTCCTACTAAGTTGGGCCTGCGAAGAGTCGTTAAAGGAGTCGTTGAAGCCTTCGACCCTCTACACGTCTTAGCTCGTTGCCTCACCAAAGTTCCGAGATTCGCTGATCTGGGAAAGGAACGCGGGATACCTGCGTTCTTAGAGAATAGGCGGTCGTTCGCAGCCACTCTATGATCGGCAAGAACGACATCATTACAGCCAAGTTCGCCTCAGTTAGATCGTCGAGATTGTAAATGATGCGTTCATTCGCCGGCGCAGTCCTCGATATTACTACTGCGATTCGCTGTACTCCATCCGTGTTAAGTACTAAAAGTGCTTTAAAGATTTCGCTAATATTACTCGCGCTAAACTTTATTATTGGATAAAAAGCGGTTTAAATCTTTCCTTTATACAAGCCATAAATAACATTTAATTGATCATATCTGTTTGCGCTCCTCTTAAACGGGTCGAAGTACATTATACGTACTGCAAACTAGAGAAGATTGCAGTGCGAACGTTTTGCTCTGATTCACAGTATCCTGGACATGTGCCAGGGGGTGGCTCTTATGGAATAACAGTTTTGATATCGGCCTTGTTATAGATGAGCTCACGAAAGTTTAGTTTTACTTTGTCAAAGTAGGTCGAGCGCAATGCTTATAGCTAGGAAATACACTGACCGGTGATAGGGACTTCTCGCAGTTCTTGGACATGGATTATTTTAAACAAATGTCTTTCCTCAATTAAAAGCTAGTATTTTTTTTTTTTTGTAATATTTCGCTACAAACATCGGCAATCGTAATCTTACATAAAGTAACAAGTGAACAGAATTGAAAACTCAGTCGGATTAAAGTTAAAATTTTACGCTCCAGAGAAAGTATAACTCTGTACATAAGAGCAACTGCTACGTGACAATCAGAGAAGTTGATAAAGTAAGTTAAAGTGAGTATAAGTGAGTCAGTGAGCGAGTTTTTAGACACGTCCGAGCGGAGTGACGTATGTATTCAATGACGTAAAAAAACGTAACGGGCGAAAACTTCGAAAACTATTCGAGATATTGAAAAACCATTTCCGAGTTTCGCGTTCGTAAAAATTTTAAAAGTTGTGTACGCGTATATGTATCTATGTTGACCGAAAACAAAACGATTTTTATACACGTGTACAGAAAATCAAGTAACACGTTTGTTATGTTGCAAAAATAATTTGGAATAAATAACATTTTAGAAATAAAAAACATTTAAATTAAATCCTACGAAAATTAATGCTATAATATATTAAATTGATTATTTTTTCATTGCTTTCATCGATATTTTTATAAAATGGTAGTTATTTGAATTTTTCAAAATATTCAACAAGCATTAATATTTTTATAAATAAATTTCAAAAATTTGTGTACGCATTTAAAAAGTTCTAGGAATTTTTGACCAAAAGAATAATTAATGGAAAGTGTGAAAATACTTTTAAAATTGCCGCATAATAAATCATTCTATGTTATATTTCATCCTTTTGAAACTCCAAAGGGCGGAGCCCATCAGATAACTTGCGATGTGCTGAAGGTGGCGGCGAGTGAATTGCTTAATTTATAATATAATTGAGTCTCTATAAATCTCGTTCATTTCCATCGCCATTACATTTTATTAAAGATTCTCGCATACTAAAAACAGGGCTTCCTTTGAGACATTTGCTTAATCTTATTTTTTTCAAGCTCTTAATAACACATTCATCTTTGTACGTTACAAATTGAGGAAATTTTGTAATATCGAATCGTTTTTAGCTCCTCGAGCAAAATCCATCCTACACTCTGAGAGTTTTCGCGAAACAACATGCTCCTTTCGTGTTGTAGAACTGGGTTGTTTCCGATGAGACAAATTCTCTCGACTGAATATTTGCTCTCCGCTGGACCGCTGCTTTTCCACACGATTGCGTCGTGCCGCGAGAAGGCGAACAGATACGTGGGAATTCTTCGGAGAGAAAGGAGAAGAAAATCGAAATAGAACAAATCGTGGTGAACGTGCACCGGAATGCAGACATATCCGAGATATACTTGCCTGCTTCGCCATCTTCTCGCAGATACTTTACTTCCGTGACGCAACTTCCGCGAGCGGGTTCTAAACTCGCGTTCTCTCTTATTGGAAAAATACAGTGCTCAGTACGTCGATGACGCGATTTATCTATCCCCTTTTGGAGATGTCGCTTTTAAGGTCGCAGAGATTTCTAAACAATTTAGCATTGCAATTTTGTCCTTTTGTATTTATCTTATTTTCATAAAACCCTTGTGTTTCAAAACGACATATCGTAAATTCTCTCTTATAATTGTATTTCAGTTCCGAAAGAGAAGTATTATAAAATCGCCGCATAAGAACAGTATTCTGAGAATTTTCCTTTATTTCTATCTGGTACTACGATATTTTCGAAATGAGCGTGTTTGCTTCCGAGAGTGCACCATATTTTCAAATGCTTCTATAAACTCTGCTCACTCCGAGAGCAGTTTCAGCATAAAACGTTTGTTATCTTTCACAACTTTATCTACCACTGTGCTGCTTAGTTCTTCTCGGGCTTTATTGCTATTGTTAAACATTTTTAAACGAAACGTACGAAGAAATTTCGCACTCGTGCGTATATAACATATATACATGTTCGTTTAAATTAAAATGCGTGCATATACATAGATATAATTATTATTATTATTAATTGTCAAAATATACCATATATTATAAATTGCACCGAGATGACGCGAGAGAATCTAGAAACTTTCTCTAACTTCTGCAAATGTAATTATATATTTTGATACTCAATTAAACATTTTTTAAAGCATTTTCTATACGCTATTATGACAATGCATTTTAATAAAATCAATGTTCACTATATTCAATCAATTGCAACATATTCATTCATTCTTCAATGTAAATTTTGAAAGTTATTCGATGACAAGTACGAATTAATCTTCATCGGTCATCAGCGGCCAGGTTATTGTTTGTTCAAATTTTTAAAACCATTTTTCCCCGCTGTCAGTTTATCATGTTACGCGTTTGTAGAACGCGTCATTGTATTTTTCTACGTTTAAGCTCACAGAGTAAACATACACAAACGTCTGTAATTGGAGTGTCCTTTGACGAATTTTTTAAATAATTTTTTAACTTGATTTCTAATGAATTTTTGTCATTTGTGAGAATGTAATCTCGTATATAATAATAAAAATTACTCTAAAATTCATTTTATCACTTACTTACAAAAACGTCGCTTATATTATGATTTATATAAAACGTCAAATAATGCAAAATCTTAGACGTTTCATAATATCATCCGTTGATATTTCAACAGGGGAAGAACATAATAAAGAATAATAATAATAATACCCGTTCTTTTCTACGGATTCTTTCTGCAGTGATATTACATTCCAAAACGTAACGGATTTAATTCGTTTGATATAAAAACAGCGCTTTGTTCTCGATATCTTATCCAATAAAGTGAATCTCAATCTGCTAATTGCGCTTCTTTCTTAATTGATTGCTTGTCTCTCAATGTCTTTATTAAAAATTTATTAAGAAGAAAATAAAGAAGAATACGAAGATGTATTATTAATCTTGTCTTCATATGTTGAAAAATTTGCATCTAAAAACACTGTAACGTGAATAGAAGGGACTGTGTGAAGTCGGTTACTTTTATTGATTGCAATCAACTAGCATCCCGCATTCGTAATTATTACATCTGTTGCAATTTAAGCACCGATGTCTTAACAAACTTGGATGCGCAATTCTGTCAGACATTACTTCTAATTACCTTATCAAATTACCCACCTTTCCTTTATTCCGCCTCGCAGCAACAGCTGCAGTTCGAGCGGCAGAAACATGGCGTGATGGCACGGATCAAATTTTGACCAATTACTTCCGCCAGCGTCGCTTTTATCGTTTACGACCGAGACTAATGAACAGAAACTTGGAGGTGCGCGCTTGTTATTCGGCACAAACTTTAGTCTTCGTTAACCAAATTCAGTTCACATTCGAACAATGAACGCGAGATATGTACATTAATCGGCTTTTGTCGTGTCGCGCAGTTTCACGCTCGTAAAATTAACTTTTTTTTTCTGTCGTTCGAATTAAATTTTGTCAATATTGATTAGGATGCTGAAAGCGAAATCGGATGCAGTCTTAAAGAATCTCATTAAGTGAACACCTAATCTGCATGCTACGTATTTATACAAATCCAATAATGATCTTGCAAGTCAAACATCTTATTCACTCGTCGTACTTCGATTCATTCGGTAGACGTCTCCATTCTGATCTCCTCGACCGTTTCGAGCGGGTTACAATTCGCAACAGACAAGCCGAAAGATTTTCTCGAGACACGGTATTGGAGATGTACCTTCCTTCCACTCCGCCTTCTTTTTCTCTTTCCATCTTTTTTTTTTGCTCCGGGAATCGGAATGCAAAGGATGCAGAAATGAAGAGGGTACTTCCGTCCACAATTTGAAGACCTCATCGCCTTCCGCCTCAACCCGATTGTTCTGTCTTCGTCTCGTCACGGTCGTCGTTCTCCTTTGTTCCTCGAGTTTCTCGTTGCTCTCGTCACAGCCGGAACGAGGAGAAAAGGAA